CCTGCTCTCCTTTGTTCATTGGTGCCCAGATTCAGGGAAGGTTCCTGATTGGCTCTCAGAGACTGTCAATCATCATTGGTGATGTCATTCCCTGGTTAAGTGCAGATGGTCCCAGGAGTATAAATACAAGAGTTTGGGGTGGAGAGTCTCAGTTCTAGAGTTGTTTAGGTGCTAGTGAGTAGGAGTAGAGAAGATGGCTTCCCAAGTGTGTCAGAACTACCACAAGGACTGTGAGGATGCTGTTAACAAGCAGATCAATCTAGAGCTTTATTCCTCTTATGTTTACTTCACCATGGTCAGCTTTTACATTTTTGGTGTCTTTTTTGAAGATTGAGCCTCCAATTTCATTAGTGATGATTGGTATAGAACTTGATTAACAGTTGTAACAGTTTTTTTTTCCTGAGCATGTATACACTGGATTAAAATTGATTTTAAAATCACTTCAAGGAATTGGGATGTCATTGTGACTGCACAGGATATTGATGAAGCAGTTTTTATATTCCTGTTCAAGTCTGGTCTCCCTGCTGTTGAAAAGATGTTAAACTTGACAGGGTGCAAAGATGTTGCTGGGGTTGGAGGGTTTGACCTATAGGGAGAGCCTGAATAGGCTGGGGCTATTACTCTTGGAGTGTTGGAGGCTGAGGGAAGCTCTTGTACAGGCTTAAAATGATGGGTATTAACAAGGCTAAGTAGCCAAGACCTTTTACCCCCAAGAGTAGGGGAGTCAAAAAACTAGAAGGTATTTGTTCAAGTTCAGAGGGGAGAGACTTTTAATGTTACTTGTGGAGTAATGATTTCCTGCAGAGGGTAATACCTGTAATGAATGAGCTGCCAGAGAAGCTGGTAAAATAACATTTACACAGCATCTGCATGGGGACATGAATAGGTAAGGTTTACAAGGATATGGAACTGGATTAACTTAGGATATCTTGTTGGCAGAGATGAAGGGTCTGTTTCTGTACTATACAACTGTGACTGTCCTTACTCTTCTGGCATAGTGATAGAATCCCTTAGCTTGGGCTGAATGTTTGTTTGGTTTTTTTGTGTTCAGATTCCACCTGGCCTGGATGTGTGGAAACATTCTGGAGCAACTCCCCTTAAAACTGAGTACACTGTTTGAGATAACAATGTGATCAACCTGTTCAGGAACAGCTTTGTAGTCACTACTATTTCTCCCTCACTAACTGAAGTATTGAGTTCTAGACCTGGAGAGTGACAATATTAAGCTGCTAACTGGGAGAATCTGTTCTTCTAATAGCCATTGCTTCCCCACTGTGGTTGGGGTCTGCTAAATTGATGGAAGTGTAAATTGAAAGCTGGCCTATTTCTTGAATCTAAGCAGCATCAATTATCCCTCCTACCTTCTGACTTGCATTTGTAATCCATGTGATCAAAGATCCTCAGACCTATGTCTGAAGCAGGTGGGTCTTAAACCTAGGACTCCTGGTCTAGAGGTAGGAGCACTATCACTGCACTACAAGAGCCTTTCCCAAGGAGACTGCTTTCATCTACAAGAACGGAGTCATTGGAGTCTGAAATACCACAATGAAGTATGGGTTTGACAAATTAAACTGAACTACTACCTCAATTGGAGAGAAACACCACAAGTCCAGCAGCATCTGTGCCATCCCCGATGCTACTAGATCCATTTCTCCAGCACTTCCTGCTTTATTCCTTCAATTTTGCTCTTGGTGTTTAATGATCCTAATTCCTCAACAGGAGGAACACTAGATTCTGTATTTTAATGTGGACACTGCCTGACTTGATCCCTTTCTCTACTTGCAGTTCTCTTTCTTTGACCGGGATGATGTTGCCCTGCGTCACTTTGCTGAGTTCTTCAAGGAGCAGTCCCATGAGGAACAGGAACACGCTGAGAAACTGATGGCGTTCCAGAATAAACGTGGAGGCAGGGTCCTCCTGCAGGACGTCAAAGTAAGATTCAGTGTGGCTGGAAAAGAAATGTATGGCAACTCTCTTCCTTAAGAATTGAAGGTGGTATTCCTCCACTTGAGGGAATTTGAGCAGTATTCATTCCAAAATGAACCTGGGTGAAATGTTGCCATCTAATTTGAGCTATCCTACTCAAATGAGGATTCTTAGTCAGGCAACATGGCAGGGGCGATTTGTGGGTGAGTAACCACGACTGGCAGTGGCCTCCCATGAAAGAATGGAGGCAGATGAAGAGGGAACTGGCTTTTTCATGGGTTCTCTTGTGCCCATCTTCTGCAACAGCTTTCCCACTCCTTGCTGTGATCTTTAGTCTGCTCTGCGGTAGTGCTGATGAGCAACTAGTGGTTGGAACTATCTTATTTTGTTTTCAGAAGCCAGAGCAGGATGAGTGGGGCAATGGTCTGGAGGCAATGCAGAGAGCTCTGCAGATGGAGAAGGATGTGAACCAGAGTCTGCTGGATCTGCACAAACTTGCCTCTGGCAACACGGACCCTCATGTGAGTTTTTAACCTGCTTCACTAATATTTGCCACTTGTACAAATGGAAGGTATTAATTGAACTATCTGCTTACTGGTATTAATTCTCTGTTGTGGAGTAGGAAACTACAAACACATATAATGACTGGCCTCAAACAAATGAGCAACAGTGGGTGTAAGGACTTGTTCTTTCTGCTGTGGAGATTGAACAACAGTGAATTTTTGCGATTCAAAATAAATTCTTGTCACTGTCACTTGTGACAGCACCTTAATTGGGAGCTGCTGTTTTTTTTAGAACAAGGGAAATGAGGGCTTTGCAGCTTTGGATGTCACTAGGAGAAGGTGCCTTTTTCTAGGTGGCTAGGCAAGGGGATCTTGTGCAAAGGACCCCAGTTGTTGGGATAAACAAGAATGTCACACTTACACTGCATCACTTGGAATCTTGTTAAATGACTTAAGGGTTCCAAGGTATTCAGCTTTTCACTTTTTAAACATCCATTCTTTTTTAGTTTCATGGCGAACTGATCAAGCTGCCAGTAGGTTCCTTAGCTCAAGGTACTAATCTTGCAGGAAACTGCAAGATGAAATTTGGGGCACCTCAGTATTTCAAAGGAACTCTCTTAACTAAAAGATGACACCACCTCAGCTGTTACACTTCTGTACATAATCTGAAGACACTGGGCATTGAAACGCCATCCCTCTATCACTCATTGAACTCAACACTTTTTTTTCTTTCTCCAGCTGTGTGACTTCCTGGAGAGGTACTACTTGGATGAGCAAGTGAAGATGATCAAGAAGCTGGGAGATCACATCACCAGCCTGAAGAGACTGGGAGCCCCTGAGAATGGCATGGGAGAGTACCTGTTTGACAGGCTCACGCTGGGAGAGAGTGACTAAATTTATTCTTGATCATGTACAATATCACCTTGACTGAGTTGTGTATTGTGTTGGACATAAATTGGGGACATCATTTTATTTCATTCTGAAAAGAAGTTACATTTAGAAATGCCTTAATCTGTCTCCCTGTGCAAGTATTCAATAGGTGTTCAAACTTTGATTACACTGCAGTAATGGTTTTAATTTCTAGTGGCTCATAATCTGAGTGCAGTGTAGGAAATGGATCTCTAAGAACTGTAACATATTTGCTCCCTTTCAAATTAACTTGCTCCACAAACTGAAATCTATTTCTTTCAAATTCTCTAAACCACTTTCTTGCCCTGCCTTCAGTTTTGAATAAAACAGCAATGCTGCTGGTCTCTCTCCAACAAGAGGATCCTCGCTCCCTCCAGTGGGGAAAATGTTCAGATGTGCTTGTATACACTGGCAACATTTTATGTTGCCAGAACAATCCAAGTTCAGTCTTAAGCTTTACACAAGCAGGATTGGCAGGAGACCACTTTTGTGAATTCAAATTCTTCCCCCCTCCCAAGAAAGAACCAGATCCTAATTTCTGGGTCTAACTGAAGATCTAGAGTCCTCTATCTGCATCTGCTTCACTGTCTCTCCTGTTTCCCAAGAAGAATTATTGCTCCCAAACTAAAGCAGAAGAACCTTTTTTCTCTACTTTAATTTTAGAGACCATTCAAGTAATCATCCACCATAGTAATGGTGCAAAGTATTTGAGGATGTCTTTACTCAAATACCCTCTCTAAATTATTTGTGTAGATGGCCATTTGGCCCATTGTGCCTATGCTAGTATCTTGTCAATCTTCAATTCTCATGTTGCTGTTTTGTGGGAGCCTCTGAACAAACTGTTTCTGATATTGCAACCTGAAGAAGGTTATTAGTGCCTTGCATACTAGGCTGTACTATGTAAATACAGTAATCTTTACAATTGTCTTCCTGACTTGGCTAACAGCCATTCATTTCTTAAATGAACAGTCACACAAGGGCCAGGGTGTCCTCAAGAGGTCTGCTTATAAGAATTATGGGGTCCTACTAGGAAAAAGTGGCAGAACTAAGCAGTTACTTATTTTCCTTTGTGTGAATAACAGCACCTGTGGAGGGGAAAGCAGTTAATGTTTTGGGTTGTGATCCTTCCTCTGAGCTGCTGGTAGCTAGGAACATGTTGGTTTACATGCAGAAGATGGGGTGGGGGAGTGGGTAAGGGGTAAATATTAGGTGGTGATAGACCGCCAAAGACAGAACAATTGAAGGAGTGGCTAACAATCTGGCTAGGAAGGTGAATGGTTATTAATGGGGACTGTTGGCTGCAAACAATGGATGGTGTGTAATAGACTTAAGTCCTGGTGTGTGGGGGTTGGGGTTGGAACATGAGAGCTCAAGCCCTAAATTTGGTGAACCTTTGCAAACAAGTGTAGGGGATTTGGATTACTGACTCTGATTTGAATGGTAAATGGTTTTAATGCCCGGTATTTTTCAAGGCCTAACATGCCCTTTTTTAAGGGGAAAAAAACCACTAACTTGCGATGGCTGCTGTAATTACCTGATCACAAGTTGATCAGTTCACAAGACCATCAATAAACTAGAACCTGTCTGAGCTGAAATAAGTCATTGAACTGACTGAAACCAGTCATTCTGGTCTGTATCTCCTGGATTGATTTATGTCTTTCTGGAGGTTTCACACAACGGGATGAAAATCATCTACAGATTATCTGGTGGGGGGTAGAGGTGAATATGTGGGAATACGTAAACAAATTGTATTTCAGACAACAGCATTTGGGCAGAGAAGGGAAAACAGATGGGTTGAGAACTGAAGGATCCTATAGAACTAGAAGGCATTATCCCCAGTGGTAAAGCAAATTGGAAAATATCCATGCACTGAACTGGAAGGTCATGAAAAAAATTTGCTCAGGCTAATGCTATCAAGTAAGCAACTATGGTCTCAGGTTAAAACCTGGCACTCAAGGACTGTAAGGATGTTGCTCCCTTCATAGTAGACACTTTTCAAACAGGTATGCCATCATAATGGATCAGAGCCCCAAAAGGTACTTTATGGAGACATAACTTTTTAATTCCAATGTGTAGGCTTAGAAAAGCAGACTGCAGATATAAATTCAATGAGCAACTGGCATAACCATGAATGGAGCCATGAAATGACACACCTGTACAGGATGAATTAAACTGCAATCAGAAATACGAAAAGCAAGGGGCTCAACACCCAACGGGGACACACAAAAACAAGGGTTTAAAAACTGACCGTGACCGCAACCCCTGGTCCAAGTTGATTAGGGGCCTGATGTACTATTGTACTGTGAAGATCATGGCTTCAGAACAGCCACTAAACACCCTTGCACTTCAGGTCAAGAAAAGGCGAAGTCCCTTTCTCACTCTGAATACTGCCACTATCAAAAGAAATGTGAAAAAAGGAATTTCAATCTACCTGTGAAGCCAAGAACCCCAAAGGGGCCATCTAATATAACAGCCCAGATATTCTACTACCTATTCTTTCAACCATTCCTTCAGGATCTGAGGGTTCAAATCCTGGCACTAAGAAGCTGTAGATGTGCCAACACCACAGTGACTGCAGTAGTTCAAGATAGCAGCTCACCACTGTCGTATCGAGGGGCAATTTGGAATAGGCAATAAATGTTGGTTGATTTAGCAACACTCATGTTACTGGATCAAATATCCAGAGGTCTGAGCTAACAGAGGTTCAAGTCTCACCACCAACTTCAAGGCAATGAAAACAAATAACGTGGAACATAACGTTAGTCTCAATGGTGATCGCCATGCGAACTATCACCAGTTGTTATATTTTAAAAAAAACCATCTGGTTCACTCAGGTCCTTCAAGGAAGGAAATCTGCTGCCCTTACCTGGTTTGGCCTACACGTGACTCCAGACCCACAGCAATGTGGTCGACTCTTAAATGCCCTCTGAAATAGCCCTAGCAAGCCACTCTGTGCAAGGGCAATTAGGGACGGGCAACATTCACTGTCCACTTGCCAGTGGCTCCTACATCCCAGGAAAGATTTTTAAAATTGCATGGGAGGAGGCGTGTGAGAGATAGCAGGCAGTTGGGCCGAATGGCCTGCCTCTGAGGTAGAGCTGGGTAATTTGGTGCCTTCCAAATGAGGATTAAAAAGTTCAGGGGTTTTCTATTGATCACACTTTACAAGCTCCCTGTTGAAATCCGTCAGGGTCCAGTGTGGGGCCAGGGCTTGGGGTGGGGGCTGTTTTTCCTTCTCACCGAACTCTCTCGATCTAACAGCCCAAGCTGTTTTCATCACGAGCTGTGCACAGAGTAAGCTGTTTTGTGGCTAGGGTATCGGAGATTGACCTACTGCAGACGGAGCCAGTGACGTGAAGCGGAAAATTTGGGGAGAAAGATTTAAAATGAAGGACTTATATTTTTGTCACCTCCCCGACGCAGACCCCCAATTCAGAAAAGCCCAAAGTGTTTGACAGCCACTACTGTAACTTAGGAAACACTGCATCCACTGTGCACAGCAAGATCCCACTAAAAGATATGACATAAATGCAACAGATGTCTTTTTTTTAATGACGTGAGATAAATGTTGGCCAGAGCACTCTAACTCTCACCCAGCCCCAGGTGGCCACTCAGTCCATCAGAGAGAGCAGATGGGGGCTCGGTGTAGTAACTTGACTGGAGGATACTGCCTCTGACAGTGCAGCACTCCCTCAAAGTGTCAGCCTGAGCTCCAGGCTTTAGGAGCAGTTAGGGGGCACAAGATCTCTCAGACTTGGCAGAACTGTCAATTAAATGGAAAGCTCTGTGGGAGGCAATCAGCTTCAAACTTCAAAACCACTCGGTCCTCAGATGGTTAAGTCATGCCACACGCTGCTAACGGTTCAACTGGCCACAACTCAGAGCTAAAACAAGCTGCATTTTTGTCGACTCTGTCACGTTATCTCTCCTACCCTACTGGCTGACCTCGCCCTTGCAGGCATCATTTGACAAAATAATTATCTTCCACCCTTCGGTTTTAGAGGATAGTCGAGGGGGGGAGGGGAGACAGGGGAGCGAGCGCGGTAGAGGGAGAAAGAGAGACTCGGAGAAACAGAGAGAGAGTGAGAGTCAGCTATTTGGAGGAGCCTTGCCATGTCAGAAAGCAAGGATCAGGAGAACGTGCTCGTTACAGAAAAGGACACGGAGACAGCTGGGTTGTCCAAAGCCCCCTGCTTGGAGCTGAGAACAGCCATGGAGAAATGGTGAGCTTGACAAGGAGCTTTGAGACAGATTCCTGTCTGATTGTAATTTTATGGGTGGCGTGCAGAGCTTCACAGTAAAATGCGGTGTCTTGCTTCAAATTACTGAGTGCGTGGCTGCATTGGTCATTCGCTTTCCAGTGCATCTGCGTGGGAAGCCAGGCAGCTCGTACACATCGCAGGTTAACCATTTCCGTGGAATTCCGGCTCTCCCATCCCCTGTTCTCCCTGCAAAGGTGACTGCAAGGTTACTCTTGTTTACTCAGTGCAGGAGGAGGGAGTCTCGATGCGTTCCCTATGATTACTATCCATAACAAATACCGGCAATGCAGAGACAGTCGGAGTCGGCCATGACAGTCGGTGTCAGTATGAAGTCGGTGTCGGCCATGACAGTCGGCGTCGGCCATGACAGTCAGTGTCCACCATGACAGTCAGTACCACATTGCAGCTGATCTTCCGTTCTAACCTGGATTATAGAAATTCCGCCACCTTGAACACACCATCCGTGGCTGTGCACTCAGCTTCCTGAGCCGTAACTCAAGAATTCCCTCCCCTCAACCTTACCATTTCTGAGACTCTCTCTCGGAGACACTCCTTAAACATCCGACCCAAAATCCCCACCTGCCCGGCTTCCGAATCCTCCTCATGTTTGATAATGCTCCAGTGAAGCACCGTTGGTGTATTTTGCTACCTTGAAGGTGCTATAGAAAGGCAAGCCGTTGTTGTTTTCATGTGATGAGAACTAGAAAGGTTCTCAAGACGGAAACAAGAAATGTCGACCCAGGAGCACATTTCGCTTCAATATTTACAGAATCACAGAAACGTTATAGCACAGAAAGAGGCCGTTCAGCATATCACTTCCATATTGGCCTTTTGCAGAATCACAGAATTAATACAGTGCACAAAGAGACCATTCAGCCTCATGTACTTCTCATTTTGGAGGGTCAATGTCTAATTTTCTGAAGTAAAAGTTTATTTTTAATTTCAAGTAGAACCCGAGTGAAGCAGTGTGTCCATTTTAGAACAGTGCAGAGGAGAATTGGAAGGTCCCACATTGAGTCGGGAACAGAGCACGGAAAACTTCAGCCTTGAAAAAAGGCTGAAAGGAGAGGACTGTGTATAGGAGAATGCAGGATACTTCTATGATACAGAGAAGGCAATGGGCAGGATAAGGGGACTAACTAATAAGCACGGAAGCATAACGCTACTCTAAGGAGGCAATTTTAAAAAAAGAACTGCAGATGCTGGAAATCAGAA